AAAAGGGACAATAACGTTGGCTTCAGCATCCTGCAAATGGATCAACATAATCAACATGTTAGACGGGGGATGTGGTCAGTTAAGAAAACACCAAAATTAACAAATTACCTGAGAGGAAATTGCATGAGCTTTTTCAGCAGAAGCAGAGACAGCTGCACTACTAATAGCCCCCCTAGCACGCTTCTTGTGCTCAACTGTTGAATAAAACAAAAGCACAAGACAAAGTTTAAAGGTCGAAACATGAATAAGCGAGAAAGCAAATAAAGTGATCGACAATCACAGTAGTAAATCATACCTTTCTTAAATTGCTGATTCATAGCTTCGAAAGCACTGGCCAATCGAAGCTTGAAAGATTTGAGGTTCCCATTTTTCTTTATGAACCTCACGGTCCACCAATCAAAAAAATCCTTCTTTGTATAGAAAAGGGGTTTGAAGGCGACAAGGTTCAGATTGGGGGCGTCAACTGCAAAGTGTTTGAGGCATTGAGCGCACTTTGTTTTGTTGTAGCTTTAGGATGAAAGGCACATTTTGTCTGATGGCTTATAAAAGCTGCGAGACAAAGTTGGAACAAACCAAATTGCCTAGCCACCAGATTGGGTTGGTAATAAATAAGTGTTACCCCATCATTAGCACCCACCCTAGATGCTATAAGCCTATGGGTTAGAAAGGCTTTCCAAATGGTTATGGATTCAGGGACCTACGTTGGCTCAGCAGGGGGAAATGGTCGAGTAAACCATTCAGGACCACATGGTCTTGAAGTAAATGGCGCCATACTGGGGTGAAAAGAGGTACACCTAAAGAAAAACTTCAAGTACGTTTCAAGCGCTTTCTCTCGATTCAGGTCATTGTTGGACAGCGTCATTGCAGCAAGATGAGGACCTCCAATGGCACAATTGGCAAAGAATGTCTCTTGTGCCTCTAAAAGTTTCAATTTAAACAGATTCCCAAAGGTGGCATTTAGCCACAATTGCAGCAGCCAAAATGGTCCAGCAAGTAGATAGCTGGAAATCGATGCAAGAGAAGTCATCTGGTCGACCCCCACACTGAGCGATTCATAAAGTGACCCTAGGATGAGTTTGCTCAAGCAAGTGTTTCGACCCATGTGAAGGTGATGCGCCAACGCAATAAAACATTTGGCCACCTTCAGAGACCTGCTGCATAAAATATACTTAGAGAGCCACAAGGCCAGAACAACGATGTGCTCTTCATCAAACACCTTGTTGACATCCTTAGCGTGAAATGCTCCATATACTTAGTGAAACCAGTAACGTCCTTATCAAAAGGAATAAGGTCTTCATCAACTTCAATAGGGATGAAAGTTTCACCTTTAAGGTGAAGGCTAGTGATAGCCTCAACGTCTAACAGAGTGGGAGTCGGCATACCAGTCGTTAAATGGAAAGTGTTTGTAGAACTCTCCCAGAAGTAGAGGGAAGAAATCATCATATAGTTGCAATAACTAGGGCCAACCCTAGATAGTTGAATCAAGTCAAAAATTCCTTGGGATGTCGACACATCACCTTTAACTTTCTCTATCTTATTTAACCATGCATTGTAATCCTGGTTGATAGCAAGAGCGGAGCGAAAAAATTTTGAGGTCCTATAGATATGGGAGAAATATAAAGGACACTTCCGGGCGATGGGGCCTTGTGCTTTAATGAACAAGGAAGCACATTTTCAGATCTTTTGGTGCCCTAATCTCATCAGGGGTAGGTCCCATGAGAGCATGCACATTTTTGTTGCAGATAAATGGAAGCAACAGGTTAGAACGGAAAGTAACAATGTTGTGTGTTGGGTTTGGCTCCAACACAAAAGTTTGTCCATCAACAGCAAGGAAATCAGACATGGTGGAAACTAGCACAACTGTGTGAGGAGTGTTAATGTGTTCAACAACTTGGCTTGGAGATGCCATGGAAGATGAATGGAAGCTTTGAATGAAAACGAAGGTGGGGTTTTTTGTTGAGTTTGGAAGCTAGGAGATTAAGGATGCAAAGAAAGCGTAAAGAGAAAATTGAAGGAATGAAAGGGGTATTTATACCACCAAAGAAACTAAACGTTTGGGAAGAAAGTGGGAAAAAATTGTGGCTACACGACCGGCGTGTGTCAAACAGATGGCAACTGAGGTGAGAAAGTTGGTAAGTTGGAGGCCACAATTACCCTAGGAAGTTGAAGCTAGAAAGTAGAGAAGTGGTTGTGTGATCGTTGATCTAACGTTTGAAGAACAAGGTCATGATTACAATAATGTCACTTCACACTAAGAGAAAATGATTAAAATATCTATTTCTGTTCTTTCATTCGAAAAGAACATTTTGTTGGGCAATTTGTTGGCTAGGATTTTTATAAAGAGAGAAACCCAAACCAAAAGTTAAAAAGGTTCTTTTAAGAGCATTAAAGAGCATTAAATTATGAGGAGTCGACTACAAGCATGTCGACCATGAATGACCTCAGGTAGTCGACCAAGGTTTTGTAAGTGCATTCGATCAGAGAAGGATTCATGGTGAATGGATTGGGCCTAAGAGAGGTAAGAAGCCCAAAAGGGTTAAAAGGTCCATAAGCACCTAAACTGCAAAGGCGAAGCGTTATGGAGGGAAAACGTGAATTTGATATCAGGAGTGGTGAACGTAGAATCATGGAGGGAAGTTATGAAGAACACGTGGCATGCAAGAAAACGAAGCTCACTTAAAAAGTAGTTATTTCTGTGTATTATAAATAAAGTACTTAGTGCACTTTATAAAGGGTCAAACTTTCACATTTTTGTACGCTAGTCACTCAGAGTAACCAAGCGAACGAGCGAAATGAGTCAGACAAAGGCAATGTATGTTTGAATCAACCTATTTTCAACATTTCTTTAATGTTATGTCATTACCTTTTACAATTTAAAATGTTTTTTGTCTTATTTACTTTGTCTTTTATCAAGCCGTTTGGTTCTCAATCGAACGAACCTTTTTTAAAACACTTTAACTATGCATACGAACTGAAGCACTATACTAAGATTCTCTGGTCGATCTCGCCAGTGAACTTGTTTTAAAGAGATCAACATTATTTACCAAATCGATAAATAAACAGATACTCTCCACCATAAAAGAAATTACACACTTAAGTTTCTTGCACTCTGCAGATTTAGGCAAATCGTGTATAGAAAATAATTGATATACCACTTAAACACTTACTCAAAAATATAACATTTTCCATATTCCGATTACTTGTGTTTTTCCTATTTTCTATTTTCACGATAGCGCGTGGAAATCTCATTTTTCCATGGGAATAGATTATAGAGTTAGTCTATAAGATTATAGAAATTACCTTTTAACTCTTGCAATAATAACTGATATGAGAATTGAAACCTTCTACATCTCAAAGGTTCATTTTTCCAAACAAAATAATCAGATTCATTTTTTTTCTAAAATATAATATATTTTTTAAATTATAACAGAAGAAATTTGCTTCAATTGTTTTTCATTTTTAAAATAATGTTTTTTAAACGGTTTAAATTAGTTTTTTATTTAAATTTAGTTCAATTCATATGTGATTCAGTTTATTATCCATGGTTGGAGTTTTTTATACTTGAGTACAATTCAATTTAACTATATAGTCAAATTAACATAGTTTCCTGTTTATTGCAATCAACAGAGTTCCTTTCTTCTCTGGACCTCGTTGCATTCTAGAAATTTGAGGATTTAACACGTTACCTCTTTATAAATTATACATGACACTCTTACAATTTGTTTTATTTTAAAAATATCTCTGAATAAAATTGGGCGTTCAGGAACGATATTTTTTATTTTATTTTTAAATTTTTTTGATAATTTTGCGCAATTTCTAATTTTTTTTTAAATATTATTGGAAATTTTGAAATATATTGGATATGAAAAACAAAATTCACTGCACATGAAAATACAAAATCACTATCTCTTTTGTTTTTGGATATGTTGTTTCCTTCATTTAAAATGATATCTGCAATTGCAAAAGAAGGGTAATTTGAAAAATGCATAAAAGTATGATGTGAGAATATAAAATACCCCTACCCATGTTGGAAATGCCAGCCTGAAACATTAGCATCATGACACAATGCATCCCTCCATTTTTGAAACTTATTGAATGTCTTCTTCATCAATGAATATCTTCTTCATCAATGAAAGTATGAATACAGTTTTGATCAAGAGAATTTTAGAGATTACCAGTGAAATTGTTGCAGGTGTCTATGCCTCTAAAACTGAGAAAAACATCATAGGTGAAGCTAGAAGAGACAGACAGTGAAGGTTGTGTCATGATTGTGATAAGATAATCGAGAAAAACTGTTTTGTCTCTAAGTGTTGCTTTTGATGTTCCTTAATTTTGTGTTTGTTTATATATGTACAAAAAATTATGTTGGTAGGTGAATGAATTGAACACGAGGGAGTTGAGGTGGTAGAAAATTCTGAGAAGGTTAGGCTAAGCTGCATTACAAAGAAGTTAGCATCTAAGTTTCTTAACTGATTGTAATAAATATTTATGTATAGAATGTATATCCATCCATAAAAATTTTTAATCAATAGACTAATATATTGTTTTCTATTTCCCTTACTACAAGCAATCAACCAAACCCGAGTGAAATATACAACAATTAAACTGTCCATATTGTTAAAAAAAAAAAAAAGCATAAATTACAATTCAGTTATACAGACTCAAAGCAAGTTAGAGAATGTAATTTCATTGTTGTTTGTTGATTGAAGAAAGTGCTGTTGATATCAACTTTCTCAAACACGGATTGGAGGCTTCCAGCTTGTGAAAAAAGCACTACTCTCATGTAACTGATATACAACAGATTCATAGCGCAGTAAATCGTTGCTTCCTATTTAATACAGCAAACAACTTCATATGAGATTGATGAGCACGGTGGTGACTATAACAACGAAAATGTTTAATATGCTGACAACCTCTTGCAAAACTTTGATATAAGTTTGTGAAACATTGTGCCTGCTCTCACAATTTGTGTGATGCACATTAGAGTTGAAATTATCTATTCAATGCTTGTGGCTGCTTCTCCTCGGCTTATGATGTTTTTCATAATGATCGGAACTCTTTTCACTTCTATGATATGAATGCTTTTTTCTGTTCTGTTTGCTCATATCATGCTCAGGATGTTCAGAACCTTCAGGTGTACTGTGTTGTTTTTCTTTGATCCTTCTACTTCGACCATCCTTTTCAACATCAGAATCATCGGTAGAATAAGAATGTTTGGCTGTGCTCTTCCGACTTTCATGTTTTTGTTTGATCCTTCTACTTCGACCATCCTTTTCAACATCAGAATCATGGGACGAATAAGAAGGCTCAGCTCTACTCTTCTGACTTTCATGTTTTTCTTTGATCCTTCTACTTCGATCATTCTTTTTAAAATCAGAACCATCGGAAGAACAAGAATGATCAGTCCTGCTCTTCTGACTTCCACCACGGTACCGATCATGACTAAAACTTACGTGATGCCTCTGAGAATCGGAATGAATTGTTGATGAGTACTTATGGCTGCTCCTTTTATCCTCGGGTTGTCGTTGATGATTATGATCATATGATTTATAGGAATGTTCATCTCTAGCCTTGTGTTTTACAAGATAATCGGCAGGATCAGAATTCTTCTCATCAGAATAAGAATGTCTTTTTCTGCTATGTTTCATCTTGTGCTTTTGTATATGCTTTCTACCTCGACCATCCCTGTCACTGTCAGAATCTTCAGATGAATACGAATGCTTATCCTGATTCTTATAATTTCCATCGTAACCATCAGAGCCAGACTCCTCAGATGGTAAGGAATGCCTTCGCTTGCCATGTTTACTACTACCGTGTCTGCTCTTTCCATGATCTTTTTCAGAGGCAGAAGAGCCTGATGAACTTGAGTCTTTATAATCTCGCTTCTTTTTGTTTGCCTTTACTTTTTTTTTCTTAGATCTACTCTCTCCATCATCAGAAGATGCTTCACTTTCTGAATGCACTAGCTTCTGCTTTTTGTGTTTTTTCTTTTTAGACTTTTTTGGCTTTTTAGATAAGTTGGTCAACAATAAATCAGGGATATCACCCATATTGAGAAAACCTGTAAAATCAGGAGTAATTATGGTTGATTTAGACAAACATTAAAGGAATCAGCGACAAGGCATACAAATCACTTAAGAAATAAGATCTGGTACCAGGTACCTCCATATTCGTCAAAAATGTCCTCATCCTCAGCAACTATCTGTTGGTTGGGATCATCTGGTTTAAACCCTCCACGAGGGGGACTGATTCCTGGCTTCTGCTTGAGCTCCCATTTTAGAGGCTGCATCATTCCCAAACAAACAAAACAACAAAATCAATATCAACTTATCATTATTACCAACTCTTGGGGGAATGAGTATTATAGATGTTCGCATCTAAACTATATAATTTACTCATGAAAAGAACGTACAGATGCAATACTCAATAGGAAATTGTGCCACTACGAAAGACATTCCTGGGATGCTAAACTTTAGTTTAGATGCAATTTTCCCCAATATTTCGTCTATTACTAAATGCAAAACCATTTTTCTTGCTCAAAACTAAACCCTTGGGGCCACCTGTTTGCGAGATTTGACGGGTCTTAGGCTTGCCACTCTTGCTTTAAGCACAAGTCTCTAAACTAGCTCTCTCACACGCAAAATCTCCCTCCACAATAATTTTGTTTTCAGCTTTACTAAAGTTAAATAAGCTTCCCAAACAAAAACTCATCAGAGAATGTGCATTGCCTGTACTGTACAGTGTTGAAGCAAAATATAAAGGGAAAAAATGCAAGGAACTATGGGGATATGAAGCCTTTTCCCTTGGATTGTACAATAATTGCTAGAAACGGGTGGAAAATAATCAATTGCTCACTTAAATTCTCTAACATCCAATTACTGTTTGCAAATGAATTAGGGTCCCAGTGATCTTAAGCTAATTAGAGATTGAGAATTAGGGTCCCAGTGATCTTGGAAATGTAAATCTCAGCAAATGTGATCAGTTTCTAAACAGATGTAAACCGGCCCATTATGATACACGGCATTTTTTTTTAATTGATCAGTTTGTGGACAGACTAGTCACTTCAAAGTTTAACTGAGTTGAATCATAGCATATTAAATATTTAATGGAAGTGTGATAAACAGCTACCAAGCAAATTCAAAGTTTAATTGAGTTGAATCATAGCATAATTAAATATTTAATGGGAGTGTGATGAGCATCTACCAAGCAACATTTATCCACACAGGATTAAACAAGTAAATTTATCCACAAACAATAAAGAACATGCAAACGTTCAATTAAGCCAAACTCTATGCAGGCATAAGTGTATCAATCCACAATGTCGAGGACTAAATTGTAAAATCTCTCAAACAATAATTCAATAAAAAGAGTAGCTGACCTCAGAAAGATCTGTGTGGGCAAGAATAGCGTTCAAAGGGTCATCTCTTTTCAATCTGCTTTCCTCATTTGGCATAATAGCATCCTTCAAGGGACATTCACGATCACCACTTTGGTGACCATAGCTCCCACATCTTAAGCATTTAACATTGCGAATTTCAACTCCAAAAGGTTTTGCCCTTGCAGCAACTCCTGTATCCAGCCTAAAAAATATTCAGTTACTAAAAGTACAATTAAATTCACAATAATTCATGGGGTTTCACATCAGCAGTTTTAACTTCAAGACCGCATTGTCATGTCAAGACTATAGACAGTGGAGTTCCACTTACCCAAATTCATTATTACAAGGTAAATAATCTACGGTAATCAGGCGAAACTATATCCCTACAATCTATCACCAAAAACTGGATCTAGGATGGACCTCATGCTACAGATTTCAATCACTTTCAAAACTTATATTGGACTACTTATCTACCTTCCATGATAAACAGATATTTTTCTCCCTCCCTCCCTCCCTTGCTCTCTATATGGCTTTGAAGCTGTAGTCTGGTTTGAAGGCAAAAGGTTACCAAGAGGATACAAACAAAGAGACTTGATGTTTGATGATCATCAAATTGAATCTGAAAATGAGCCAACAATCGAATGAAAGTGGATACTCTCATCTTCGATAGAATAGACGCGTGGGGGGGACTAATAAGCCTGAATTGAGGAAGCCTACAATCATGGCATTGAAGACAATCCAAGAGGTTGAGACATGTCAACCACAATCTCTCGACATTAAGGATCAAGGACCAGGAAACAGAAGCAAAGATGAAAGGTTGAAAGTGGAGAACAAGATCACGAAATAAAGTCAAGTAGAGAGCATTGGTCCGCTTTTTCTAGGCTGCAAGTCAGTCAGCTCACAACCACACAAGAACAAGCATAATCAGATTTGTAATGGAGAAGAGAAATGTCATTAAGCAATGGAGGAGAGCATTAGAGAGGTCCTTTTGTGGGATACAAGAGAATAATTGACAATTGTGCAGGTGATAGCACAAATGCAGGACAGCAGGGGTCAGGGTTTTGAAATTGGAAGAGCAAGCGACAGCCTTAAGAGGTGGTTTTTTTACAGTCAGACTCAGACAACCTATACCACCACCACCTAACCAACCACACACAGACACGCCTATGAGGAGAACTGAATACCAACAATGAACACATTGAGGTCATCATTGGGGCTTGTCAACGCAGCTCTAGTGGTGCAGCTGAAGGTTGTAGCCCGGTGCCAAAGTGTAATGGAAGCATGACACCATCAGAACTTGCCGGGCCAGATAAATTTTTACCTAATGGGCCTGCCGAAAATTAGTATGGCTCCCAAGTTATTTGTTAAGAACAAAAAAGGGTAGACGTGAACAATTCTGAAACTTGGGTCATTTCTAACCTTCTAGAGATATGAAGTCGGATGTTTGTAGAGAAATAAAGCTTAATAGCCAAGCCCTCTATGAAGGTCAGAGCAAAAAAAAAAAACTAAAACAAAAATATAAATATAAATAAGTATAAATTATCAAGGGTGGCTGGGAAACACAGGATAAGGCAGAGAGGGGAACTGGAAATGTGGGTTCGACAGTGGAAGAGAGTGGTCCAACTATCACCCAGAGGACGAGGTGAAACTTCGAGAACAAGGTAGTAACTCGTAGTTTGTTAGTTCTTGAGTGTTTAGGAGATGTAGACCCTCAAGGGATTCTAACATAGTTCTTTGTAACAAAGATGCATGTTTCTATCATTATGTTAACAGGATGTGTTAAAAGAACAATGAAAGAACACCCCTTGTGAATATAGTACCTCCAATAAGTTTAAACTCACCAAGATATTATATTCATTAAAAGACGGCTCATACCAATTAAAAGGGATTTGTGCAAGTTTTCAAAACGGAAAAAGGAAGTATATTGTTTGTATGGTGAAATTAATTTATTCTTTATTTTATCATTAACTGAACAAGGGGAAATATAGGTGTTTGAAAATAACAAGTCTACTGTACCCATTCAACATTTGACAAAAAATAGAATAAAATATAAGCTAATATCTAGGTTGGGACATTTTTCACCAACAACTCAAATGTATCCTTACTTCATCTTTAATTTGTTCAGAGACACATCAAAAAACACAAATGCGCACACAATAGTCAGCCAAGTGAGCCAACTGCCCAAGTGAGTCGGTCACAAATTTTTAAGCTTGTACTATTCAAGGGAGCCAACTGCCCAAGTGAGTCGGTCACAAATTTTTAAGCTTGTACTGTTCAACACGTAATAGAGAAAAAACCCTCAATAAATGCAATCTCCAAGAGACTTGAGTTACAAAAAATATACATCCAAGAACCTTGTATGATCAGGAAATTGCTTATAATAGATAACATGTATCTCTACAGAAAATGAAACCAAAGTGAGGGGAAATTTTCTTTCTTCTGATATGCAACACAGGCACAAGCCAACTAATCAGAAATGCCTCGATAGAAACTTAACCTAGCAAGAAAACAATAACGAAAATACTAATTGGCATACCTTGGTGCATTTTTAAGAACTTCGAATTCTTCTTCAGTTGGTAAAGCACGGCCAAAAACATCTTTTGGCCTCGGTTTTTTCTTTTCTCCATGTGTTGGCCTAGGAATTAAGTGGTTCACAAACATATTCAATGACAAGAAATGAAAACAAGTGATGGAGAAATAAGATTACTGGAAAAAAAGAGCAAGGCAAAGTGAGGAGGAAGTACAAAGAAGGGGAAGGCCCATCGGGATTGGTTTGTGTAGGCTCCTTATTCACCATATCTTCTTTTTTCTTCTCATCATTCATCTCCGCAGCCTTGGCACTTTCGGGATTGTAACCAGGAGGACGAACATACATAAAGCTAACAGCTTGCATGAGCTCCACCTACACACACACAAAAGACAAATATGAAAAAAATTGCAGCCCGTGAAGGGGAAACGAATAAGAAGAAAAGGGTGAGGTGCAAAATGGAACCTTTTCCTTGTCCTTCTTGGAAATGAGAGCTGTCTGGCGATAAAACTCTTGCTCCTGAGCATACTGCAAAATGCAATGAGAGGGTTATAAAATTGGAATTATAATTGAATCACGCAAAAGGGGAAGAGGAAGCAAGAAAGCTACTTACCTCACGGGCAACCTCTTCAGTTCGGCGCTCACGATGAGCATGGGTCTGTTCAGCAATCCACTTGCGGCGTTGGTTGGGGTAAGAGAGAGGATGCCACGGTTTTTGGTTGAGGAAATTGTGGCTCCATGCAGTGCCGGATTTGGTCTTATAATCAACCTCTCCTCCACCCTTGTCATCGAATCTCTTGCTCAGCCTCAAACCACCTCCTTCCTCGCCTTCCATCTCTCTTTCTCCAAACCACACCACACCACAGTGTCAAACTAACACCCCTCTCAACCAATAACCTTCAAAGGAAATCCATCAAGAACAACCATGAATCAATTTTCAGTACAACGGGTCACACAATGAACCCTACCAAACTAAATAAGTGTTCATATCAAATCATTCAACATCTACAAATTCTGTTAAGACTTGTAACAAAATTATTGTTCATATGAGTAAATTCTAGCCAAACAGAGTAGTCCAATATCATTCATCTTGAGAAAATAATGAGTGGGGATTTCTGTCAAACAGGTGATGTGCAATTAAACGTGAATGAGAAAAACTCTTCAAAAATTGAAACAGTGAAGAATCACGAATGAATCGAAGAAAATGGGGACAGAAATAACCTTAAATTATTGAAAAAATTTGGGAGAGTCCTATACGTTCGAAAAGAAGGTTTCCCTGTTTTCTTGTCGGACGCACGAGAACTAGATAGCATCAATATCGTATCAGCAGCATTAGGTTTGTTGATAGTTGTTCCTTTTTGTTTACTGTTCTTAGTTTTTATTTTATTTAAGAACTACTAGTATTTGTTTTCTTTTACATTAGAATTTTAATATGGCTTCTTGGATTGCTTTTTTTTTCTTCTTATAAGGTGCAAATTCTATATAATAATTATTGTAATTTAAATAATAAATTAATAGTATGTTAAGATAAATGTTTTTAATTGAGGAAAACCTAGGTTTGTACTTTGGAAGATAACTTAAGTTAAGAAAAGGATTTATATGGTGATGTTTGGGTTTTGATGGTACTTTGGTGTATATTATGGACAAGTAGTTACTCGGATGATGAATTAATATGCTTTGTATGGAACATGTGGAAATATTATGATAATGGGTGAATATGATCACCTAGTGATTGATGAGTACAATCACGTTGAGAATGATGAACTAGTCATGTATTCAGAGACAACCATATTGTCGTTTCCGTCTTAAATCGTGATACTTATGAAAAGTAAAGATTGGGATATATGCATTATTTCTTTGCATCAACCAAATGAGTTAGAGTCCCATATAATTCATTGAGTGTGCAGATACATTGTTAGAATTTTGGATAGTCTTAATCAAGATATCATCATAATCACTTTATCACTCAGAAGAAGAACCTTTGAGTTATGTTTCTAATGTAACATCAGTAGTTCTACGGAATGCTGAATGTTCAATAAGAAAAGAATCTCAATGAGTTTCCAAGAAGAAGGAGCTTATGATAAGTTGCTGCTTCGAGATCATAAATCAAGACTACACAAGAAATAAGCTTCCAATGCAGAAGATCAGAAGTCAAGATTCATTCATTAGAAGAGTTGATGCTTGGATTCTAAAGACGGAGTCAAGATTCTGAACGCATATGAAGAAAGATTCTACTCCAAGATCAGAAGTCAAGATTTGCTCATCAGAAGAATTGTTGCTCAGATTTCTGAAGACAAAGTTAAGATTCTGAAGACTCTGAGAGTTTATGAAATGTACCCTCATTCAACATCAGAAGTATTCTATCAGAAGAAATGATGCAAAGAAAGAAAGATCTTGTGGACTCATATCTAATCAATATCTCAAAGTCCATCAGAAGACAAGATCAAAAGATGATATCTTCTCAAGTCAATCTACTCAACATAAGTAATATCCGTCAGAAGACAAATATCATCAGAAAGACCATTGTACTCAACAAAAGAAATATTATGACCATTTCTATATAAACATCACCAGTTCAAAGGAATGTTTAATATTCATCGGAAAGGGAATCAATCCAAAGATCAAGAGATAAGAAAGAAAGAATTCAACGTTAAAATCAGATGTACTGATATAAGTTGTTGCTTCAGAAATCAGACATCAGATATGCAGCTTAGAAAAGCCGATTATCAAAGTATCAAGACAAGGTAAAGATATAGTAGATCAGAAAAGTTTTCACTCAAAGAAGTTGTTTATCAAATAAGTTATTGCTTGTATATATAAAGACAATGTTTAAATGTATGAAAGACTATGACTCTACAACAAAGAAGAATCTTCTGGATCATTATCGCTCCTCAATCAGAATTAATCCTGCAAGAAGAAAAGAATTAAAGCTCAAGAATTCAAAAACTTGAGAATCAGTTAGGTTGTTGTCATAATATCTGATTTCAAGGTGTGATACGGTGGCAGAACCGACTGTTAATACTAGTTTGCATTTTGTATTCGCAAATATGCGGTAAGCAAGAGCCCCATCGACTTTTATTTTATCCAATAAAGGAAAGGGTGAAAATAACAGAAAAAGACCTTTCGAGAGTTTTCTGAGTAAGGGGGTAGATCATGGAAAGGGAAGGTTCTAGCATCCTTTCCATTCGTAGTTATCTACGGGCTCTTAGATGCTTAACTCATGTTTTGAAAATTGCTTATACTTTGTGTGTTTTAAAAAATTTTTTGAAAATGCCTTAGTGCGACGATTCGCTTTATGATAACTCTTGTATCAGTCCTCAAGAGTGTTGACAAGGTGAATGTTTTTGAAAGTGTTTTGAAATATTTTTATGTAGGTGCAAAAAGTTGTTTTGAGCAAGCATCTAAGAACTTATCTACTTATACTCGAAAAGGTCGTTCTTTTCCTCCTAACCTTTAGACAGTGCTATCCTACTATTAGTGAGTAGGTAGCCCTATCATTGGATGTGTGAGGGACAAGCGCGGGTCATCGTTATGGTCATAGAAGGCAACATATAGGGATACCTTAGCATTTTGAAGGGAATGTCATCATATATTCGTAGGCAACATCGAGGGACAAGATCATTTCTCGTAGGCAACTCGAGGGACATTGAGGGACTATGATCTTTATGACGACTTTAACTGAGGGTCTTTGCTAAGAGCATCCCTACATTCGAGGGACGTGACCATTATTTTTCCGAAGGCAACAAGTGAGGCTACCCTAGAGGTGCGAGTGTGCAAATGATTCAATTCATTTATCTTGTAATTAGGGTTAGCTATCATTCATTTTTATCTTTCCATACAATCTTATTAATCTAAGCATTGCATAAAATATAGTAGCTGAAGGTAAAGGCGAAAATGTAAATCTAGGCTATTACAGAGTTTTGGGGCAGTTACATAATAGTGAAGAGTGCGGAAAAGAAATTCTAAAACTATTACATCCCGAAAGCAATTACATGATAATGATTAAAAAAAAGCGGGAAAAATAAAGCTACGCTATTACAGTTGAATATGCCCTATACACTTTATCTAGGAAAATAAAAATAAGATGAAAATAGCAAAGAAAATGTTTTGGTGATTTTTTATGAAAAAAATGATTTATGATAATTAATTAAATAAACCTAAAAAACCTAATTAATTTTGATTAATAAAAAAAATGTTAATTTTGAAAAAAGTTAATTAAAATACCTAAAACCTAATTAATCTTAATTAAAAAAAATATTAATTTAAAAAAAAAAGTTAAAAAATCTAAAATTAATTAACCTTAAAATTAAATTAGGTTTTTTTGTAAAAAAAAAGGTTTGTGTGATACGGTGGCAGAACCGACTGTTTAATACTGGTTTGCATTTTGCGTTTTGTGTTTGCAAAATGTCGCGGTAAGCAAGAGTCGCCACCGACTTTTATTTCATCCAACCGGAAAGGAAAAAAGTACAAAAAAAATCCTTTTTCGAGATGTTTCTGAGTACGGGGGTAGATTATAGAAAGGGAAGGTGTTAACACCCTTTCTATCCATGGTTTTCCATGGGCTCTTAGGTACTTGCTCATTTTTAAATTGCTTGTGTTTGTGTGCTTTGCTTTTGAAAAATGTTTTACTTCGTGATAACCCTTGTATCAGTCCTCAAAGGTGTGACGAAGTTGTTTTGAAAGTTTATTTGAAAAGTGTGAGTGTGAAAAGTTTTGATTTAAGCAAGTACCTAATAGCATCTACTTACTCGAAAAAAGATCGTTTCTATTCTTGTTTCCTTTAGACAACGTTATCCTACTATTGAGAAATAGGTAGCACCGTCGTTGGAATTTGTAAGGGTCAATTCGAAAGGGACGTACGATCACTAAAGCAATATTAGGACACCTTAGTAATAACCCTAGAGTCTTAAGATCATATTTGAGGCAACATTTCCGAGGCAACATTCGAACAGGACAATTTGATCGTTTAGACTGGAGGGCAACCATTAAGACACCTCATGCTTAATGATCGTTTACCGAAGGCAACAGAAGTGAGAGTATACCCTAAGAGTGATATGTGTGAGTGATTCGTTTCAGTTATTTATCTTTGCACATTAGGGTTTTCTAACTGTATTAATTTGTCATTCATTCTTGTCATACAATCCTATTAGCATACATCTAGACAGTCAAATATTTGCAGGAATTAAAAATGCGCGAAAATAAACCTACGCTATTACAAGGCTTTGGGGAGGGGGATTAATTACATAGCCAAAAACCCAAGGATTTAAACAGTAAATAAAACCCTAAATTAACTGTTACAAACCATGAACAGTTACAAAAATATTGGCAAAATAATAATAAGTGTGCGGCGGATTAAATGCGAAACAACTAGGGTTTTGACCCTTGACTAAACCTATTTGCAATTGATTAAAAAAATGTTTTCGTCATGTTTTGTTATTTGAGAAAATAATGAAACAATTAAATTAAAAAAGAAAATCTTAAGTTCTAATTAATTTTAAATTAATAAAAATAAATTAATTTATTCTAAAAACCTATTTTTGTATTTTTATTTATTTGAGAAAGAAAGAAAAATTAAATCAAGAGTTAACCTAATTTTCTAATTGAATTTTAATTGTGAAAGAAATTAAAGTTGCCCTAAATTAATTAAACTAATTAACTAAAAAAACATTTATTAAGAAAATAAATCTTTTTTGTGATTTTTGATTGGTTAATTTAAAAATAAATTTTGTGTTGATAAAAAGCAAGATAATTAAAGAAAAGGAATTAAAGAAAAATAGTAGAAATAACCAAATGGGCCTGCTGTCAGCAGATCTGGCAGGAGACGGATCCAGAAGA